TGTTTCTTTCACGATGTATACCATGTTATATACAATATCAAATAAAGAAATGATGCTTACCTATGAGGGGAAACCCCAAAAAAAAAAAAAAAAAAAAAAGATTATATTATTTTAATAACTATAAATGATATAAGATTAGAAACAAGCTCAAAGTAAATTGTATAATTGTATTTCAAAATAATAAGTTTTTAAATTGATCCAATTTTTTAAAAGCTAGATGAAAGTAAAAATAAACAATATACTATTGAAGAAATAATATACTTCTATAGATTTTAATTTAGATTCTAATTATTTATTGTAAGATTACCAAGTACTTGCTGCCAATAAATTTATGTAATACTGGAATACAATAATAAAAATTGCTAAAAATATTTTAATGAAAATACAAAACTAATAAACAAAATATGTTAACCAATATTGATATTATCTTATATTTAAAAAAAAAGATCAAGTACTATTCTTATTTTACAGGGGAGTAACAAAATTATTGCGATACTTTATTTAACTTTTTTTTTTATTTACATTATTACAATTTACCAAATTTTTTTAATATTTAATTATACTACCTTTTGCTTCAATTACTGCTTCAATACAACAGAATAGGCTGTTAACAAGATGATACAAAAATCTAAAGAAATTGTTTCCTATTTATTATGTATTATTTTTTTTAATTGTATAAGATTAGTAAGAAATAGTTGTCATTTTTGTAAATTATTTTTAATTATAAACTAAAAGTGATTAATAGGCTAGAAAAGACTAGCATAGGTTTCTGGAACTCTTCTCTCATCTTCCTCAAGCCCCTCTCTTATCTTTTCAAGCATGTAAACTTTTTTCTGGTTTTTCTGGGGAATTTTGCCTATCTCAGTTTGACCCTGAATTTTTGGTTACACCAGAATTCTTGAATGGTGATTGGCTCGAATTTTGGACTAGTTGATCTACACATAACAAGAAATGTAAACAAGATATGTAACTCTCACGTGCCCCATCTCGTACAACATAAAACCTGATGATACAATAGGTTATAGCAAAAAAAGCAAAGTGACAAGGTGTCTTTTTTGTTAAAATGTGCTATGGTGCTCCCCCTTCCCTCTTGGACTGGTTTCTTTTCTCTTCAAGATCAAAAGAAGTCTCATTCCAATCCAGTAACAAGCTTCCTTCAATGTTGATTATCCCGAGAAGGCATCAAGCAATAATTCCCTAAGGTATAAGTCTTGTTTCAAGTAATAATTCCTTATGGGTATAAGACTTGTTATAAATACCTTGAATGTTCTTGGTCAGCAATGGAATAGTGGAAATTAAATGGTTTGCCCAGCTGCAAATGGTGGTAAAGGATTTATCCCGATGGATCAAAGTTGATATTGGAGGGTTTTTATTTACCAGAACAAACTTTTTAATTACCCTCTTTTATTCCCTTTTCTTTTCTTAAAAAATAAAAATTTTTTTACCTCTTAGGACCACAGGGTCATTTGGGGTGACAGTCTGAATGTAGGTTAGCTGAGATCTTTCAAGGCATAATCTTTGATACCTAAGTTTTGAAAGGGAGCAACTTTTTCATTCCCGATGATCACATCTAGAGAATTTAGATTTAGAAAGTCTAAGATAGTTAATACCACACAGTAATAGCTTAATGAACCTACTCCCTTGTAGTGAAATAGTTAGTAAATAGCTAGATCATGTGGGCAACACGGTGGTCTTGGTATTAAGGATTCAAGGATCACGTACAAATCTAAATTCATTGACAAGTGTTTTGCAATTACGAGATAGTTTAGCTTTAGTATAGTATCATATATATTGTACTACTGTTTTCCAAAATTGAATGAATAAACGCAACTTTTGCAGTCTGATTAGAGGCTAAAAAAAAAAATAATAATAATAATTGTCTGGCTAAGTATTTATTTAATAACGATATTTATATATATCTTTTGACATTACTATCTAGGACTATGTTATAACATATCAGTTGTCAACTATACCCAACACTTATCGAGATTACTCCAAATAACGATATTTGCTGTAGCTTGTTCCTAACTATATTTGATATAGAGGCTAATCTACTGAACAAAGGTAGTCCTTTGTTGGATCAGTAGCATGTATTTTTACTAGTAATCAGACAGCTTTATTTCTAACTGGGGAGGAATTAAGGAGAAGTTAAAAGAGACACTAGGGGTAATATCTATAGTGAATAAAGCTATATGATTACTGCTTGCTCCATTAGGAATAAATTCCTTTACTACTACTTGCAGCTGGGTTAATCATTTAATTTCTCATCTGTCCAATAATACTTAAGAATGTTCAAGGTACTTATAACTGGTGCTTATCGCCTAAATACCAACTTACATATTGTAGGAAACAGGACTTATAGCCAAAAGCCTTCTCAGGATAAGTATCGCCAGACCGGTTTATTATTGGATTGGGATGAGACTAGAGCAGGGATTTGCATAAAAGATGCCAGATATTAGAGGAAGAATCATCAAACCTACTTGTCGAAAACAGACATTTTATACACCTTGCAACTTCTGATGATCATTGTAACACCAACCAGATGATCGTCGCGCTACTACACCTTTTCAGGAGATCACAATCCCAATATCTTACTGAATCAGCATGCGAATAACTTCTTATGGGAAACAGAACTTAACAGGTTACGGCTCCAGATACCATTTTTAATTCAGTTCAATCACCTTCACCTGAGGTTAAACTGGTATCTTGTGATCTAACCTGTGGAGTATTAATCACTACACTATGGATCCACAGGTCTTTTAATAATTGATATATTGATTAATTGATTTGATATTACTATTATTATTATAATTGATATGTTAGTTTTACTGAAAATATAAAAATAAAAATAAATCAGTAAAAAATTTTTTTAATTTTTATTTAATATACTGTATTTCATTCTTTTAATTTTTTATAATTTATTATTAAGATTTTTTTGATACAAAAATTTAAGTATATAATATATATATAATAATTGTTATTGTTATTAATATATTAATAAACTAATTAAAATTGATTTTTGTTATTGTTATTTTTATTTAAATAATATAATAAAGTTTTATTAAACAGTTGCCAAATATTGATCAATTGAAAAAACAAGTTGATTTTAATTTTTGTGAATGAAAAGAATTATAAAATTTTTTAAATAATATAATAAATATTATTAAAATAAAAAAAAATATAAAGATTATTAAAACAAATATTAAAATTAATAATTTTGTTTAGATATATTTTTTGAAAAATATTTAATTTAACACATATAATAATATTAATATAAATGGTTTTAATAATAATAAAAAATTATAAGTTACAAGCAAACAAAAAAATAAAAATTTACTGTTACAAGTTTTTCTCCATACATTAAAAAATAAACAAGATTTTCAAATTTGAATAGACTTTGATTAGAAATTCTATCTTATTATATTAGTTGTCTTTAGTATTTTTAAGTTTTAAGCTAAAACTTACTTGTAATAAAGAATATAAATCATTTTTTTTAAACAAAATTGTATAAATAGAAATTTTTAAACAAAATAAATGCAATTAAAAAAGAGTTTCTATATTTTTTGATTTTAAATAAATTGGTATAAATATATATTCTATCATATTCTATATAAAAAATAAATTTTTTAGTTTAAAAATACTGTAAATCATTTTTATAATTTATAATTATATTTAAAAAATTTATAACTTGCTAACAAGTATTTTTACTATTATATATATATTTGACTCAATATAGTAGTTTCTATTTATAAATTGTTGTACTGTTTCTTTAATAAGTTAAAAATAAACAACACAAATAACAATTAATTAAAAGAAAAAACAAATAAATAAATAAACTTTGTTTATAACGCCTGCTCAAAAATAAATAAATAAACTTGTTTTTAATATTTTAAAGAATTTTATTTCTAAATTATTATTTAATATATTTTTTGTCGAAATATTAGTAAAATATAATTGAAAATTTTTTTTTACACAGTATATATACAGTATATCGTATATATCAAAAGTATTAGGCTTAATCAAAATCAATATTAAAAATTTAAGGAAATTTCAGTGGGCAATAATTGACAAAAATAGTTGAATATTAACAAGTCAATATTCATTATTAAATCGCAAGAAAAATCTATATTATCTACATCATAATTTGTATACATGTATTTTAATTACTGATTGAAGCCAAGGCTTAGTAATTCAATTTTAGACTTTTCTATCTATCACGAACTTCATTTTGAAAAATTATAATTTATCTAGACACAATTTAGCAACTTCTACCATCACCAATTTATCTATTTACTTGAAAAATTACATATAGTCATCCAAAACTAAAATCCCTCGCCATCGAAACCAACGAATCCCTATATGTAAGAATATTAATTACATTTTTAAAAAAAACGTAAACTCAATAATATATAGATTATGAACATACCGTTAATAAAAACACAGGAAAATATGATTTCTTTTCAATTAATGAACACCAATTCCACGCACTCGTTAATCGACCATCAATGCAACTTCCAGCATCAAAGAAGTTGTCTGCTCCGCTACCATCAAAAGCATATCGAAAGAAATCTGCGAGAATACCCTTCTTGAGCTCATCAACATTTTCAAATGAATTTTCTATATAGCAACGAATTCCAGAATTGCTTTTGACCAAAGGCCCGATTTGGTCGAGACATATTAATATTGGATTCAATATGCGTGATACTTGATTGTACTAAATAATAAAAAGATTGTTAGATTAAAATTTTTTGTCATATTCAATTTCTTATACTACCTTATCAATAAACATAAGTGCATTGGGAACATTTTTATCTCCTAGGTGAATAACTGAACTTCCAACCCAATATTTCGCTTTCTTTTGGGCAATATGTAGAATTGAGTGCATAACTTTCGAAACTGACGGACAATTTTGGATTCTATTCAACCCTTGACCAGTATCCTTTAATTTATATGTATTGTGCTCTGATAACAAATCTTGATCAGCCAAAAACCAAAGCTTAAACATCTCGTGCTGAATTTCACGCCAAAGTGAAAGCGTTTGTTTTCTAAGAGAAAATTATTGACTTAGTATATTCACATATCATAATGTAATATGAAACAATTTGAGTAAACTTCACAATTACGCGTAGCAATATTGCGTTTCATGACTATGTGACAAACGCGCTCCATTACGCCCAGAATGAATGGCCAAGGAATAGCCCTTTTCGACCTCTGTTTGATGAAAATTAGTCGTTAGGTGGTGAAGCATTCGATCGCAGCAGTCACTATTAAATTAAAACCGTTTTTAATATATTTATATTTGATTTATGTCACAAATATAGACAAGAAGTTACCGATTTGTCCTCAAATATGCATGATTGTCACCAATACTGTACAAACATTGTTTGATTTTATCAGATGATAATCCATAATGATTATATTTTCTACTTATATGCTCAATAGCTCGCTCTTTACTCCTGATTTCATGATTGATCTGTGCTCGTGATTTTCCTTCTGGAACGATCTCTTTTGTGGCATCAGCGACATGATCATCATGAAGAACGTCAAGACCATTGTGTTCTTTAAGAAAGTTGTAGACGGTTTTGATAGGTTTAATTAAGCTAAATGATAGCATATCCCTAACTTCTGGGATGACAGAATCCTGAAATTTTTAAAACGTTCCTTAGTTACCATATAGTTATTCTATATACAAAAAAATAAAGTCCAAGAAGCATTAATTACCATAAGCATATACATCAATTTTCCGTAAGCATCTCTCATTTTTTCGGGATTCATAATTTTGTGGCGCCTGCCTATTTCAAATACCGTTTGGAAAAAATCTTCGTTATCTTCATATCTCTTATGTTCGAAAAGCTCTTGACCTTTCTTGTAATCACTAGATAATATAATTTCTTAATTTCTTATTAAATCCTTATGCAAACAAAGGACACCGGAGAGTGATAATTACCTCGCTAACTAGAGAAGGTAATTAAACTTTATATTAGTTTAATTAAACAAAATAATATATAGCTAATACTGTAAAGAAATAATTACAAGAAGGCCAGATAGAATGCTACATAAATCCCTGATTTGTTGAACAATTCGACGCGCTTTACTCGTATACGATATAATGTCAACCTTATCCGTATATTCTATTAAACACGGTATCATTAGTTATTTGTGCAAAACACAATTCATAGTTCGAAAAATTACCCGAAACGTTTAACGCAGCTTCTAATCTAAAATATATTCACATGTTAATATTGCAAATATTATTTCTGCATCAAGAATTAACATCATGTATAAATACTTACAATCTCAGAAGTTTCCGTTCTTCCATGTTCAAACGAAGAGGTATATATTTTGAACGTTCCTCAAGCCAATCTCCAAATGACGAATCTCCGCTTGAAATAATATTTGTTGTCGGTTTATATTCTGTTTCATTTTCAGCTTCACTTTCATTCGACTCCTAATTGTAACAAAATTATCATTAGGTAAAGTTTAAAATAACCATGCGATTTTTATATAAAAAATCTTACTTCTAAATCCATATCATCATTTGATGATTTTTGCGTATCAACATTGTTTTTCAACTCATTCTTCTGATTATTAAGGGGCTTGTGACTATGTTCCTGTCTTTTTCCAGTACGATGGATCATGGCAAAGCACACTTCGCAAAAATCTTCGCTACATTGTTCACAAAAGAATGATGCTTCCTTGTGATAGAATGATTAATACTATTACTTTAAGTATTAATTATCATGGAAATTTAAGATATCTCAATTTTTTACCTGATCACGACACTCAATACATAACCCTTCGAGTATCGGTGCGGGAGGGAGTTCTTCCTGTTCGATGTCTGTCATCTGCTCATCTTCAATATCGTTTTCCAAATCAGAATGTAAAATTTTATCCAACTGTTTTCTTCTTTTTACTTCTGGTGATTGGTTTACAGGCGAAGATTCATGATGTTTTCCTGGACCTAAAAGAACAGTGCCGTTTATCAATACTTCATCTTCAATGTCGAATTGGGATTCAGATGAACATCCATTTTTTTCTTCATCCTCTGGTTCGTCACTTTCAGATGAATGTCCGTTTTGTTCAATCGTAGGTGCCCGGTTTCTGTCTGGTTCACTTTTGGTTGTTTGTTCTTCAAATTCAATTGGACGATTTATCTGACTTTTGCCGGGCTCTTCAACTTTTGTTGGTTGTTCGTCAAGTTCAGTTGAATCATTTATCTGATTTTCGCCAGGCTCTTCAACTTTGTTGGATTCAACCTTAGGATGCACCGTCTGGCCTTCATCTCCTGTAGGTACCTGACCGTTATTTTCTTTAGTATTTAATTCAGGTTGTTCTCCAACAACTGTATCAGCTGGAACGATATCCATCGCATCTTGAGCATTGGAATTAGGTATTTCTTTATCATTAGAAGTCATGTCATCCGTATTGCCTGTTTGCAGCGTAGACGGAAACAAAGACATAAGTCTCCGTAGAAAACGTGCTATTTACTTATAACGTGCTTTACGTGATACACGTCATCTTATTGATTGGGAATTTTATTCTTTTAAGCCAAGATAGAAATATATACTGTATATCCATACTATAAAATCTATTTTATAGTATTATTTGTTTTTTTGTTTTTTTAACTCTAAATCAGGTTGCATGCCATTTATATTTATTAAAGATGTATATATATTGTTAGTGTGTAAAAAGGTAATAGAAAATAATAAGGAAAAAGGTATAGTAAGTATATCAAGTATATCAAGTATAATAGGTATA